CGACTTAAATAGCATTTCTCCATGGCCTCCACAAGATACCTAAAATAAATTAATATACAATGAATGAGAAAACTCAAGTGAATGAAATTAAAAGAGTTGTAAATTAAGTAAAAAAATTCTATGCTTTGTTCTATGTGCATTACCTTAAAAATTCATGAGCATCCTCTTGCCTGCCTGGTGTGAGGTGTCTGCATATAAGCCGTAGCTTGGAGTACACCTGCCAAGGTTTTATTGGTGCTCCACCACTTCTCTGGGTAGCCATTAATGCAGCACGCATCCCACATATCACACAGGCTTCTGTAATTTATAAATTGAATCTGTTAATATGTCACCAAGATGTATAATAAATAGATCTACTTCATAAATTACATGTTAAATGGAGTTTATTTCAAAGCTCACCTTGTTGATTACATTTCTCTGCATGAGTCACTTCCATGACTAGCCAGTTAGCCAAAGCAGGCACATGAAACAGAGCCTGTAGGGTGGAATTCAAATAGCATGTGTTACCCACATTCTGCATGCCAGCACCAGCAGCCCATGGGCTTTGCCATCCCAAGTGAACCTTTTCCACAGGAAATAAAACCCTTTTTGGTTTAGGCAAGCCATCTTCCAAGGTTTTGTTACCATCTGAAAGGGTTTTTTAAAATATTTTAGTACAACTTTAGTACATTCTATAAAAAGTTATTTAGGATTAGTTATTTATCATTAGCAGTTAGTTTGGTGATAAAAGTATCTATATGGTTAAGTATGTATGTGGTTCCAATATTATTAGACTGACAATGGCCTTTCCAATTCACACAAAAACAGAATCCAAAAAAGTTTCATATTAAGTATAAAACTGAAAAGCAATGAAGCTTTATACAAAATCGGACTCAAAGATAAGTGCTCTTTACAAATTGTTTACAAGGATAAATTATTACAACAACTTAAACAATATGCAAAACTTTTCCCTAAGTAATTGAGTAAAGTTTACAAAACATTAAAGAAATAATATTTATAATTAACGTTCTAACAACTTACTATTTTCGAGGTTATCAAGAGAAACGGGTTGGATGAATTTGGGTTATAAACAATAAACGTAAAGAAAGTACATACGGAAATTCTACTTAGAATATCTTTTAGTGGGGTGACCACTTAGTTACACAGTTTATTACTGGAGTTCCAGTACCATCTTTAAGAACGTACTAATAAACCTTAAACGAATAGTTGCTGAAATACTATTAAAAATTCGCTCAATGATTCCATGACGTTTATTGACAAGTGACCATAAGATATAACCTCTAAATTGATCTTATCGCGCATGTAGATAACAAACAAACCTATATTATTTAAATATCATAATCTTATGATTCATTACCTGATGCTTGGCCAGTAGAATTGCAGTCCTTTTTAAGCAGTTTACTATCATGCACTGGTTTTTTAGGTCGGATCACCACGTACTTAGATTTCAGTCCTTCGAGAACATTGCTTTGATAATCACCAGACTCTTCAAATTCAATCTTGGACAAAAGAACGCTTTTAGCGGAAGAGTAAAGTCTGCTATCCAACAATGAGGAACTTTGAGAATCGTCTGGGGTAAGAGATAAACGCAATGCGCTTGTTACTGGGTCGCAAATGGAAGCAGGCATTTTACCTCCAAAATTGCACTATCACGTTATCAAAACACAAAGCACGTCATAATTAAATTTACGTATTTATATGAGGCACCAACAGAAATTTAACAAACCGCCTTCCTACAACCTCATAAATATGTGTATTTATAATTAAATAGGCTGTAAAAGGAAAACGAAACGAATCAAATTCGCTCGACGATCCACGCACGACAACCCGTAATAATGTTGCCAAACTTCAAAGTTGCTTCAAAGGCCAGTCAAGTCAAGGAAATAAAACTTGCCGGTGAGGTGGTAATTTTATAGTATTCTCCACTTTCTAATGATTATATATGCTAAAATCATAATAAAAAAATAGTTTTTTTTAGTATTTTTTCATTCTTTCATTTCCTTTAATTTTTTCATATCATTTTAATATTAATGAAAAAATACTAAAAAAAACTATTATTAATATGGCTAAAACCCGTAGACAGAGAATATAGGTATTCTCTGTCCTCTATTCTCTGTCTACGCTAAAACCTAACTTCGGATTACCACACATCATGTATGTGACCATGGTGTGGGCCGGGCATAGCCAGTATACTATAGTAGTCTTTGGCCGGGGATGTAACGGACATAATGTCACTTTGAAATGATTGAAGCACCAAAATGTCACTGGATTATTTTAGGTCATCTATTGATTTGTTCATTTTGTCGGCACTATATTATCAGTATCGAACATATATGTAAATAATTCCCTGTGTCAGAAAGTGTGTAACATATCCAATCCAAGAAAAGGTATTATTAATATCTTATTGATTACTACTAGAGATGGGATTTTACCCGGAAAAAACCCGAATATGGGAAAAAACCGGGAAAAAACCCGGGGAAAATTCCCGAATGGGAAAATATTCGGGTTTTTTCATATTTAACACATGTAACAAATAAGTAATGTGTAGATTATGTACATATCATATAGTACGTACTATTTAAGAACTATTACTACAAGTTAGAGCTAATCTAACTTTGTTTATGTTCATATTGCAGTAATAACGTTCTTAATATCCTTAGGGACCTACTATCAAATGAAATAAAATGAAATTAAACAAAAATCCTGTCTGTTTGTGTGTGATCCTCCGCTCTTAGCGACAGGTAACCCGAAAATACGTGAGCGGGTAGAGGGGCAGGGAAGCAGGTAGTAGAGGGGCGAGCGCGTTGGTGATCTATCTATCTCACACGTTGTTTCGGCTTCATACTGTGCGCACTCGTGTTAATTTGTTGGTTTAATTGACGACTTGGATTTTGTTTGGTGGACTTTTGGTTACCTAATCCTTTGAATTGACAACAACTGCTACTCTTACGGACTTTGATACCTACTTTTTTTACGAACGAAATTTACCGGTAAATTTACAGTTTTGTAACTTTTGTAAAGTATAATAAATGATTGTTAGTAAGAGTATCTCTCGTTGTTTTAATTATATTATTTTAGTCAAACATTCTTTAAAGTTTAATAGGTATTTTTTCTGCTGTTAACATTCCATCACAGAGCGCAGTAAAAACTTATTATAAAACAAGAAGACGTCTTTATGGTGTTATAATAAATATGCTGGTTATGTTTTAGTCCTTGAAATAGACTACACATTTTAACGTTTCAAATAACAGACAACAGCTAGTGCCTTATACACGCTGGTGCTAAGTACTACTCTGTCAAGAAAGTACCGGGAAAAGATCAATAATACAAAAATGTCTGTTATTCATCCAAATTTATTTTATCACCTTTAAACTGTCAAACACCGAGCGGTCGGTGTTTGACAGTTTAAACTGTCACCGGTGACCGCAACCTATTGTTCTTTAATTGTCTGTAATGACGGTACTCAACGAGTTAAAGTATGCTCCTTTAGAGACGATACACTTGCGCCAACGAATAATCTATTCATCAAAACATTTTTTAAACGCTGCTTCCAGAATTGAGTTTAGTTCTCGCCGCGAATTCTCCTTTACGTCTTCTATCGATTGAAAACGGGTGCCACGAAGTGGTAATTTGAGTTTAGGAAAAAGAAAAAAGTCAGCAGGAGCCATATCTGGTGAATATGGTGGTTGCTGGATGGTATTTGTTGAGTGTTTGGTCAAAAATTCGTTCACCTTGATGCCACCAATGATAGCCTTGTGCGAAGGCGCTTTCTCGTGGTGCAAAATCCAAGAATTTTCTTTCCACAAATCTGGCCTTTTTCGTAGAATTTGCTCTCTTCAACGCCGCATAAAGCTCAAATAATATTCTTTATTTACCGTTAGACCTTCCGGTAAGAATTCAGAGTGCACAACAGCGCGATAGTCAAAGAAAACAGTCAACATGACTTTGACTTTTGATCGACTTTGGCGTGGTTTTTTCGGTTTCGGTTCAGTTGGAAGGCGCCACTCCGAAGCTTGTTGACTAGTTTGCATGCCAAACTCATAAACCCACGTCTCGTCACCAGTAACAATGCGTTTCATGAATGTTGGGTCCAAACTGACTCGTTCTAGCATATCCTCAGCGACTTTCATGCGATTGAGATTTTGGAGAAAATTTAGATCTTTTGGAACTAGTCGAGCAGCAACATGTTTCATACCCTTTAATGTATAGTATAGATTAGTTAAAATGGTACGGATCGACTCGTGAGATACAGAAAGTTCGGCGGCTATCTCTCTCAGAGTTGAATGGGGATTTTCAGTCACTATTTCCTTCACTTTTGCGACGTTACCTACAGTTGCAGACCAGAGCGAGGCAAATCTTCCATCACATCTCGACCGCTTTTGAACGCTTTGAACCACTCATAAGCACGAGTTTTTGATAAAGTCGATTCACCGTAAGCTTTCTGTAACATTTTTAGTGACTCCGAACACGAAATTCCATTGGCGATGCAAAATTTAAGACAAACTCTTTGATCGATATTTGTGTCCATTATGAAATTCACAATATACATTATATATGATATTTCTGAAACCAGCGCTGTATTTAATATAAATAACAGATGCAACTCAAACTCCGCGCCAAAATGGAAAACAGTTGTGCCAATCTAACAACTACATAAAAACAAAAATTTGAATTTGGAACCATAAACAAATCATCCATTCCCGATACTTTTTTGAGTGAATGTAGGTATATGCGCATCACAAAGTACCTATTTATTTAGTTCTGAAAATAAAATAGAATAAGATCATTATAAATGAAAATACCCGCCTATTGGGTTTTTTCCCACATAAAAACCGGGTTTTTTCCCAAATGGGAAAAAACCTGGGTTTTTTCCCTTTGGGTTTTTTCCCAGTGCCCATCTCTAATTACTACACATATATTACTACACATATTTGACATAATTATTTAGTGACTAATATGAGCAATGGTGTTTATGGCAACTCTGTATATTGTCAAATGCAGTGTACAGTCTTCTATCTCTTTCCAACGATTCTTTCATCTAGCTGTCTGTCACAATTTATCCTTTTATCGATTTGGAATTTGAAATAAAATTTAGGCGTTTTTCTAATATGAAGTTAAAGTAAATGAGTATTGTGTTTATATGAAAATTAATAGTAAAGATGAATTTTTGGAGTGCACAGTGTTTTATGATTTTAGCAGGTCTGAATGTTTACATTATAAATTGTACATACTATTATTGGCTTCTATAAATATATTAGCATTTGAATTTATTCAAACTCAAGTAGTTCATGGAAATGTTAAATACGACTACAATGATATGCAGTTTTATTTTAATTTGTTACCATAGCTATAATACTCCGTCAATACAAAATATAATGGAAAGTACATGTATGTTTATTTTAGTTCTCAGCGTGGTTACATCGTCTAGAGTGCTAGAACTAAGCGACAAATTTATTGATATAAGCAATGAGGGTATGTGGTTCGTGAAGTTCTATGCGCCATGGTGCGCTCACTGTCGGAGGATAGAACCTATATGGGCACATGTCGCCCAGTCACTCTACAACACTCCTATAAAAGTAGCAAAAGTTGATTGTACTAGATTTATGGCTGTCGCAACACAGTTCAAAGTCAGAGCATACCCAACAATCATGTTGTAAGTAAACATCCTTATGTGTAATCACAATTCATTATTGTGGAAAAGTCTACTTATCACTTATCAATATCTTCCTTTATTGCACAGTATAAAAGGTCCCTATCGTCATGAGTATATTGGTGAGCGTGTTAAAGAAGATATGGTTAATTATGCTCTGCGGATGTCTCAACCTGCTGTTCAAAGGTTGTCACAGGCTGATAGTCTTGGGTATTTGAAGGAGACTCATCCGGTTTTCTTTGGATATGTAGGAAAACAACAAGGACCATTATGGGTAATTTCATAGCTTATAATTTAAACTTATTATGTGTCTTACTGTTCAGTAATCATTAACATGAGTTAATTAACTTAATTTAATGTCTTCAGTTTAATACAAGTAGTGTGTAAATAATTTATATGATACAATAAATATGATTATGAGTGTATAATTTGAAACTTGAAATGTTATGACTACTTGTGACTATTAAATTACTGACTAAGCATCTTTCAGAACAGTTATTATAAATTTATTTACATCACTTGAATAAAGTACCTATAATATTTTCCTTGTTTACAGGAAATATTCACAATACATGCAGAAAAGTATCAACCACACACATGGTTCTATGCAATGTCACATGAACTCTTGAAAAATGATGTGAAAATACCAAATGAAACGGCTGTATTTGTTTACAAAGACGATGAGGCATACTTCTTTGATGGTATTTTATGTTTTTTGCCGTATTGTACACACACTCTACTCTGCTTCTATTGGTCCTAGTGTGATATTTTATAGCCTTCCTCCATAAGTGGATTATCCAACAAAAATATTTTTTCAAATCGAACCCGTTGTTCCTGAGATAAGCACATTCAAACAAAAAAACTCTTCAGCTTTATATTATATAATAGTATAAGATAATAATGTTGAATTTTAGTAGGACTTGACCATAATAAATATAAGCCTTGATTTACAGCAAATCCTTCATTAATTGAAGATAAAGAAGCCTTAAATGTAACTTTGGATAAATGGATTAACTCTGAGAGGTTTGGCCTCTTCCCAAAGGTCACTAGATCAAACATAAATGAATTAATGGACATAGAAAAATATATAGTTATTGCAATTGTCTCTGAAAATAAATTAAATGAAATAACTCAAACAGAGAGAGACTTTAAAGACATGGTAGAGAGCATTATCAAGTATGTATTTTTGTTCATACAATACATATTATGAAGGTATGTTAGAAAATTTTTAGGTTTTTCCTCATTATTTTACCTTTTTTTCATTCAGGAAGAGGAAACGAGATCTTCATCATAGATTCCAGTTTGGTTGGATGGGAAATCCAGAATTAGCTAACTCAATAGCTATGTCTGAACTGACAATACCTCACTTGATAGTTCTCAACTCAACAACAGGCCACCACCATATTCCTCAAGATGATCCTGTTCTCATGACACCTGAAGCTGTTTCAATGTTCCTGGATCAAATTCATAATCAAGTAGCACCGGTAATACCAATATTATGTCTTAGTAAATAATAATAAAACATCTTTATTCATCTATAAACACCTAATTTTATCTTGTTACAAATAGTTCATGAAGATAATATTGTTTTCTCCGCAGACATATGGAGGCAACAGTTGGCTTGTCCGTTGCTACAGAGGCTTTTTTGAAGCTAGAACTACATTAACAAACATGTGGAGAGGAAACCCAGTATTAACGGCCCTCGTGTTCGGTCTACCCTTAGGATTTTTATCACTTATTTGTTACTCGGTATGCTGCGCTGACATACTTGATGCAGAAGAAGAAGATACTCCAGGTATTCTTTTATTTTATTTCTTACGCACAAGACTTAACCATATAAACATCCTGAAAACGCATCATAAATTCACACGGGATTTCAAAACTTTAAGATTAAGAGATATTAATTTTTCTTCTATCAGTACTTGCAACAAGCAAACTCAATATTAGTTCTCCAAAATGTCATTTTAGTGTAGCAAATAAAATCGTTATAGTGATGTTAATTATTCCCATTTTTTTCAGAAACTCATGAGAAGAAGGATTAATGAAGGATAATGGTAAAAATGAGAAAAACTTTTAGTACTTTTACATTAATTGTGTGAAGAAAAGAAAATGTTTTATTGAATAGTCAATTTTGCTTTGGTACCAGTGATTGTCATGTGGCAGGTTGGGTGGGTGATGGTATGTTAATTTTACCAGATGTTACTGCACCTTGGAAGGAGCTCACAGATACAGTACCTACATACACACTGTTATCAATATTATAGGAAAGAAATAGCTACTTATTTGTTTGACTAGTGAAGTTTCAAAATGGCTGACTCATTTGCAAAGTTCCTCTACCATTAAAGTTTACTTTCAGGGAGTAACATGTCTACTTTTTACCCCAGTATTCTCATAAGATCTCTTTTTTGTCAATAGTTATGAATTGCAAAAAACAATGTCCATTATAGTCTCATAAAACTAATGATAAATGAATGTGGTGCGGATCCACTCCATAGATCTATCTAATCCTTTCCTGTTAGTATAATACAGATACCTAACTGTAATCACCACTCACTCACCGTTTTTACTAGCACCTAAAACGCATCTAATTTAAGTGTCTTTTTACTAATCCTGTTTGAAGAGCGTATTTTTGTTCTTTACTGACCTAGTATTAAATTTAAAACAGAATAATAGCTAATTTACTGGAGTTTGTTAGCGACAGTTACCTAACGACCCAAATACTGTCTGTTGGCATTTTTTCTAAATATTTATAGAAGTAGATAGACAATTCCTAATAATCATGCTATTATCGCTCGATCTTTTTAAAATCATGTAATATAGGTACTGTTTTTATTATGCATGATCATCCTTAAGGTTTAATTATGGAGTTCAATATACTGTTTTTGAATCCCTTAGTCATAACTCATAGTATATTGTAAAATAAAATAGGAGATGTGTACCAAAGATTTTTAAGTACACCAAACGCAGTAATCAATTCATAGAAAAAATCGATGAATGTGCCACACTGGTGCACAATGAGAGCTTGAAAAATATTTCTTAAATAATGATTATTATTTATCAAACAAATACCATACAAAAAACTGTGTAACTAATGTACTTGTTTATGTTGTATGTATTTACTGTACTTGTTTACATTGACAATGGACACCTCAGTTAATTAAACTGAATTTGAAATAAAATAATTGAAAAGTTTAAATAGTTATTATTTTTTTACACTTCTACATTTTAGACATTTCTTGAATATACAACGACATTTGAACTTGTTCGACATGACTTTTCAGCTGTTTATACCAAATTGCATACTTCTTATGAAAATTTTTGTTATAGAGGTCTACTGCATCTTCATCATCATTTTTAACTTCGTAAGCACCTTTATAACTCTTGGTATCATTATATTCCATCTTTTGGTTTATGCCTGATTTCTTAAGATTGCCTTTTATGTTTGATTTTATTGAATTAGATAGTATACTAGTTGGATTTTTCATACAACTATTTGAAATTTCTTCAAATGTCACTTTACTGGATGATTGTTTTTCTTTACATTCAGCTTTGCACCCTTTCTTCTTTGGGTTGCTTTTATTGCAATTTGATCTTAGGATTTCCTTACTTCCCTCATTAAACTCAATATGCCTAGCTTTAACTTTATTGTCTTTTGAAGATCCAAAAGATGTAGGAAGTCCTGCTTCTAACAATGCTTTACTTAAATCGGATTCATCCAATTCTAAATCACTTGGTCCTTTGAGGATATTTTCTTGTGGATATGCTGTTATTTCCGTCTCAGAGTAATTTTTGGGAGCTTCCAAAATAATATCTGGTTCTGATGCAATCAATTTTGGCCTGTCGGTGAGTTTAATTAGTTCCTTAATATTTTTTAAGTTTTCATTAATTTCCATGTCTATATTTTGTTTTAAAATTACATCATTTGATAAAGGTAAAGTTGGTTTACATTCATATTCAGTTTCACTTATTTTGTCAAATGGAAGATCATCAACATTTTCTTTATGGGTTTCATAAGAAATTAATAAGTCATTAAAAGATTCAAATTCCTTTTCTTTTGTTTGCTGAAACGAATTGTATAATGTTTCAAAAGTTTCTGCTTCTTCAATGTGGTTAGAGGCCCCATTTGTTAGTCTATTCAATAACTCATGATAGGCTTCATTCTTTTCTAGCTCTTCATAATGCGAGGCATTTGCAGATGGGTTACATTCATCAAGTGTTATTATCGGTTCTTTATCCCAGAAATTGTTCAATTCTAATAAACCATTGATGGACTTTAGCATTCTTTTGAATTTCATTTCTTCTTCTCCTCTACTAAGTATAGTGACTGCAATACCATAAGACCCAAATCTTCCAGCTCTGCCTATTCTATGTAAGTATGTTTGCCAGTCATATGGAGGTTCAAAATTGACAACCAGATCAATATTTGAAGCATCTATGCCTCTTGCAGCTAAATCTGTTGCTATTAATATTCTGCATTTATAATCTTGCAACATTTTCAAAGCACCTAAGCGATCATTTTGCTCTTGTTGACCATGTAACTTTTCAGCAGGCCATTTTTCACGAATGAGCATCCTGTACAAATCTCTTACTCGAACTTGATAGTTACAGAAAATTAAACATTGCTTAAACTTTCTTTTTGATAATATCTTGAGTAGTTCTCCAAACCTATATTGTGTTTGCCTTACAATATTTGTGTTACTGTTTACAATGGATACAAATTGTTTGATACCTAGGAGCACAGTAGAACTGTCAGGACACATGTGTTGAGCATTTTGCACATATTTATTCATAACAGCTTTTAATGTTTCAGGATATGTGGCGCTACTCATAATTACTTGTTTTTCCTTAGGTAATGTTGTAAAAATATAGTTGATGTCTGCTTGAAAACTTTTTTCCATTAATTTATCAGCTTCATCAAGGACTAATAATCTAACTGTTGTTACATCAATGATTTTTGCTTGAACTAAATGTCTTAGTCGCCCAGGGCTACCAACAACAATGTGCACATTCTTTTTAAATTTCATTACATCTTCTTGGTAAGGTAGTCCACCTATTACAACTTCCACAATTAAATCTGTAACAAGAATTTTAAATTAAGCACTTGAAAAGGCAGTTATGCCTTTTAGAATTTATATCTACATAGTAAATTTCACCATGTATGACCATTGCAGTGAGAGAGGGAGATGCAATTCTATTTGGTATATAGTAACATTATAATCAATTACAATACAAAATTCTTTATACTGAAATTGAGTTGTATTAATTCGTCGAGTACTGTCATTATAGACACAATTATAGAACAATAGGTTGCGGTCACCGGTGACCGCTCGGTGTTTGACAGTTTAATAGGTACTATGTATAAAAGTTGCACAACATTAACTCGTTGAGTACTGTCATTATAGACACAATTAAAGAACAATAGGTTGCAATTACCGGTGCCCGCTCGACGTTTGACAGTTTAACTCGTCGAGTACCGATTTTGCAGACACAATTATCCCATAAATTACCAAGCGGTCACCGGTGACCGCTTTCCACTAATATTACATTACATTATAGACCTTATTTGTAATGTTTAGAGACTACTTTTGTATGACCAAATTTAGGGGGTGGATTTCAACGGGTTATAGAACAATAGGTTGCGGTCACCGGTGACCGCTTGGTATTTGACAGTTTAATTGCACACATTTTAAGAAAGAAGGTACTTGCATTGTAACTACTTACTTTTATAATAGGAACCTATTTGAGTGATCACATCACATATTTGAGTTGCTATTTCTCTTGTTGGTGCCATGATAATAGTTTGTAAGCCTTTTTCTAAATCTAATTTCTCCAGAGCTATTACTGTAAATACGGCCGTTTTACCGGTTCCAGACTTGGCTTCAAGAAGTAGATCTGAAAAAAACTTAAAATAATATTTATTTGTCCATACTATCAAATAACCCTTCCTACATTCAGATGAATATTAACTTTTTTTAAACCAAGGGGGTAGATTGAAACTTCAAATTCTTCTACTACAAAAGTACTTTTTTGTGATATAACAATCTCAAAAAAAAAGATTGAAGTTAAAATTAAATAATTTTAATATTGTAAAACAGTTCGATAACCAGTGATTATAGGTTATGTAAAAAAAAAATAAGATAAAGATAAGAACGATATTCTTACCAAATCCACATTTGCCTAAAGGTATGCCATGTAATTGAATTGGAGAAGGCTTGTAGAAACCGCAATTAGTTAGTCCCTCTAAAGTACTCGGTCTAAGCAGCATCGTGTCAAAGGTAACATCTTCAGATATTTGAACATCTTGGGTTCGTAACCCTTCATTTATATTATGCGCTAGAACCATAATGATTGTATTTTCCAAACAATTCTAATAATAAATCTGTTTTAATATATAGTACAAAAACCGTTTGATATGCCGGGGACAAAATAAACACTGTCAATAAAATTAAACTTCTTTTCTTTACTGTCACTTCACTGTTCATTTGACACTGGGAATGTCAAATCGTCAAATTGTCACAAATATACAATGAAACGTCACAAGTCTACGGTCTATATCTAAAGTTTGCCATACACCTTTCCTTCAAATTAACATGTGTAACGCGGCAATTCGGTTTTGGACGGACGCACGCGTGCAACTCTAGTGGAAACACGCCACATCACTAGTCCTCTGCCCCCATAGATTTATAAATATAACATAGATGTCTGGCTATTGTCTACGGGTAGAATTTAGGAACCATCTTGACGGTAAATTCATAAACATACTGTTGTTTCTTTTTTACTTATGTCTCTTTGCTTATGCAGAAAGAGACAACACATTATTGTCATTCTAGCCATAATTTTTTGACGTCATCAGAAAAACCTAGTTGTGCCAAATTGGCCATCTTAGTCCCTGTTATCAGTGCATGTCAGTGGTACATCAGCTGTCAAAGCATTGGTCAACAATATTTTGTTACGAAAATTTGTAGAATTCCTGTTGTTTTTGTGCGTGGTAAACAAAGAAATTATTGGTTAGTGAGAAGAACTATGCCCGGGTGCAGTGTTATTGGATGTAGCACTAAAAATATTACTAAACCGGCAGGTGTAACATTACATCGGTAAGTACTGTTATTTTTCATTAAAATATCTCTGTTTTTCAAACTATTCAAGTGTGGTTGCTGCAAATTGACTAAATACAATACTTTTCTAACTAATGCAGTGCTTATTTTCATTAATTTTAGTTGAAATACGTCTAAAACAATTTTCATTAAAAAATAGTGATGTACATGATTGTTCCCGTATCGATAATTTTATCGTACATAATAAATGCGTCAAAAGTAGAACAAAGAACTATACTAAATTCTGAATGATAAAGTGCATTAATTTGACATAATGACAAAATACAAAAAACATTAAGTACTCGTCAAAAATTTCATTTTATCGACAAAATTCCACCATCGTCAATACCTACGTAATGTAATAAATAATTAATACAATAGAGAATAATTTTTGTACAATATGAGATAAGGAATAATATTGTGGGAAATGCATTTTTGTCAAAATTGATTTTTTTATCAAATGCCGCTCGACGGATTCAAATGAAACAAACAAATGAAATATAACTTTAGGGTATTTTTAGAGTATTTATTAGAATGTGTCGAACTCTGCCGATAATTTTAATAATATTATAAATTTTCTTTTTAGTTTGTGCTTGAACCACGCAGAAGTTCTTGGCTGGAAATAATTAATGTGGGAAATATAGATACTAGAAGGAAACATATCTTTGTTTGTTAACTTTATTTTGAAGATTAATGTTTTAACCGAACAATAAATTAATAGTAAATCTACGTGATGGGGCCCTATCGCTACAAGCTCTATTGGTAAATCATAATGTAAACGATTCATTATGTGTTTTGTTATATTAGTTTTGGAAGCATTTTTTGAAGAGGTGCAAACTTAACATTTTATTTAACATTTATATTAAGTTCATAACTAACCGGGTTCTTGTACCTATATGTTTCTGTTTTCCTCCGCTATCTATCACTATCATTGTAATGTACAAACATTTTCGTTCAGAGCTTAGTACAGTACCTATAGAATCTATAGAAAAATCTATGTTCAATTGGATCAAGTAAGTTAAATTATACTATTTATGTTGCAGCCTCTAGCCAGATATGTGCATGAAAATGAACTTGGAACCAGTTCTGGAGTCTTCTCGAAAGATGGTTTTGCAGATTACATTACAGGGAAACACTACGAAAAATACGAAGATATTGTATATTATAAATCTTGATTTTATGAATACTTTGATACAGTTTTATTTTTCAACCCTCAAAAATTACTTAACCTTAAGTATATAAATATTGACCAGTTGATGGAAAATCCTTTTCATGAATTTCGATACATAAGTATCGTGAAAGTTATGATGTGAATGTATAGGCACGATCGACTGGAGTGACAGTGCACGCAGCAACTACTAAATATATTTCGCTAATATGTTGGTAATGTTTAGCAGCTAGATAAAAATCAAATCCAGATGAATCATAAAATAATGATATTTATTGATAAATCAATTAAAACCAATTCTAAAATATCGATATTTCTACAGTTTTAAAAGTTACATCCCTAGTTCTATCCGCCATTACAGGTGACCAAGTGAAGTTTATGTAGGCACGATTTTTTCCTAGTTGTTTCTTATCCATACTCTTATCATATCAGTGTCTGCCCCCGCTTTCCCGCCACTGACCGCTCGACGCTTGAAAGCAAAGAGTATAATAAGTACCTATAGGGGATCTTGAAAGAAAACAACGAGTCCCGCACCGGAGCCGTGACGCACGCGCTCCGTATTTGTGCCGCAATATATTTGAGTTTATGTAATATCCTTTTGTTTTATTGTGCAACTTTGTTTATATAGTTTAAAGTTTATTCCAAAACAACATTACAGTCATCGTGTGTCGAACATTATTTACGCTCCTGAGAACCCACCACCAAGACAATGTTCAAGGATATTAAACATGTTTAATTTCAATATTATTTAAGTTTTTATTGGAAATTTAATAAAGAGTATAGCTAAAATAAATAATCAAAACATGACTTTTTATCCTTCTCGTAGGTTATGAAGGCACATAAAATAAATTTTGTTTCTTAGTTCAAAAAGTAAAAGGGATTGAGCCCATTGTCGAATACCTTTTTTATTAATTCTTACGACGAAAATGCTAACTTCAAATTAATGTTATTATGTAAATAGTACTAATTTGATTTGCGGTTGGATTGTACATAAAATCGGAAATTGTTACTCTTTCAGATATTTTTAGGGGTTTGTAGGTAAATAGCATAGACAAATAATCATTGTCTATTCAAGCTGTCATTTTAAAATAGTCTATGCTCTTCGTATAGATTTAATTGCGGTTTCAGAACGGATTTTTGTGAAATGGCGAATTTGTGATTCTTGTGGATCAATTTATTTTATTTGATTGATAATTTTATATGGAAAATATGCAGTATTGTGAACTATTTAACTCTGTGTATCTTATTTAAATACGTTACTTATCCGTCATTGACTTTCTTCATAATATGATATACGAAACCAGTTGATTGCAATTTTGTCAAGTGTTGGGTTTCCTCGAGAAACAAAATCTACAGTGAGCATCATTTTCAGTTTTATTTTAGTGTTTCTCAGTATTGCATCTCTTTATTTGAAATAAATATTACTTGTAGCTTTTTTGATGTTATAGATATGGTCTAGTTCTTTCTAATTCATATGTAGGTCATGAAAATAATACACAAATACAGTATATACCTAATGTGAGGAGGGTCTTGTATTTACTATTTTGGTTTCTAACATTGATGATAGGGAACAATTCATGTAATTTGGTGAATGAAGAATGTATCCTTTTATACAATCTTACCATGTTTTGTCCCAGACAATCTATTCATAATATAAGACATATGATTATTTGAAACAAACTTGTAATTTATTGAACTGTGATTACACTACTTTTAGGTCCATATTATGATTTATGTTCAGATTATTTTTACTGATATATTAGGCATATTTGGTTGATAAGTCTTGTGTTACAGAACTATTATGTTATATGTAGTTTTCAGTAATTTTTACATTTTTCCTTATTTAAAACTATGGTACATACCAGTATAATTTTTAGGACATCACTATGAACAATAATTGTGCTGGAGTTGGAGTTGGTGCTGGGGCAGTGGGTAGTGGCGGTGGAGCTTATGATGCTAAAATAGCAGGATTATATGATTTACTCGACACCTTAGGATCTGGCCACTTCGCTGTTGTAAAACTAGCTCGCCATGTTTTCACGGGTGAAAAAGTTGCTGTTAAAGTCATAGATAAAAGTAAACTAGACGATGTTTCTAAATCACATTTGTTCCAGGAGGTCAGTTTAATCTTTTATATATTAATTAGTTAAGGTCAAGTGTTTCAACTTCAATCTAATGATAAAGATAATGAGATCAAATTTTGATAATATTTGATTATTTGATAATCAAAGAAGATAACACAATTTAGAAAGTATAATTATAAATTATTATATTAAAGGGATTGGAAATCATATCCTACATAATAGACTTAAGAAGTGGTGTAGAAATCTGTGATACCTAATTTCCAGGTGCGCTGTATGAAGTTGGTGCAACATCCCAATGTAGTACGTCTGTATGAAGTGATAGACACACAAACTAAACTTTACTTAATACTAGAATTAGGAGACGGTGGCGACTTATATGATTACATTATGCGACATGAATCCGGTTTATCTGAATCTCTTGCTCGTGATTATTTTCGTCAAATTGTTCGTGCAATATCATACTGTCATAGGTAAGTTTATTTGACCTGTGTTGTTGATTTTTCCTTCTGGTAATGTTTTAAAATGATTGTTTTCTTTTTCAAACAGGTTACATGTGGTACATCGTGATTTAAAACCTGAAAATGTAGTATTTTTTGAAAAACTAGGCGTTGTGAAATTGACTGACTTTGGATTTAGTAATAAATTTTGTCCTGGTCAGAAATTAGAAACTTCATGTGGATCTTTAGCATATTCAGCTCCAGAAATTCTTCTTGGAGATTCCTATGATGCACCTGCAGTTGATGTTTGGTCTTTGGGGGTCATACTCTACATGCTTGTGTGTGGTCAAGCTCCATTTCAGGAAGCTAATGATAGTGAAACTTTGACAATGATTATGGACTGTAAATACACTATTCCTCTACATATATCAAATTCTTGTAAAAGGTATGTTTTATTTTGTTATTGTTTCAATTTGATTGTGTAGTTGAAATCAGTTAATAAACAATATTTACAAAGCACTACTGAAAATTTATGCCAATGATTCTGCATCCCCATCATATAGCATTTTACACAGGTGTTCAATAATTATTCATAGTAAACTTATAAATTCAGATTGCAGTTATATCATTTCATGATAACCTAATTAACCCAGTATGTCAGTCTTCATGTTTTATAGTTTAACCATCTTTCTATCATTGATTATAATTATGTTGTTATGATGTTATTTTATATAACACTCAGCTTGTGAATCGAATATCGATCCAACCATGTACTAAGTAGAAATAAATCACTATACAATATGAAACACAAGTCATGTGCTGAAATGTGAATTATATAAGTAATGTGGCTAACGAACTCTGTGAACTTTTTAACTGTTCATTCTGTTTCCTATATATATTTTTAGGGATACTCCCTGGGATCCACAATTTTTAAAAAAATATCTTTCAACTTTCAGGCTTATTGGGCGCATGTTAGTGAGGGAACCTGAAAAACGTGCGACTCTATCTGAAATTGCTACAGACCCCTGGGTTACTGCAGGTGAAGGAGTCACAGTGGAAGACTTTGATACTCCTTTGGTAGCTAAAGAGCAACTTTCAGAAGATGATCGCACAGCAATAGTTCAAAGGATGGTTAATGGCACCATAGCTTCCAAAGAACAGATTTTAGAAGCTTTAGAAAAAAATGAATATAATCACATCACAGCAACATATTACCTTTTGGCAGAGAGGAAACTCAGATCCAAAAGGTATCTAAGGAGATTTATTTTAAATAAATTGTTACAATTTCATTAAATATATGAATAGAAATATGATAAAGCAATATGTATTTCTGTAGGCAGGAGGCGAATCTGCGTGCACGTCGGCCAGAGGCGCTCAGCGTGGCACGCGCCGCGCCCGCGCCTCAACCGCGCGGACTACTGGCGCCGCCCACACTCTCCGCCGCACCGCGCACGCCGCAAGACGTACCGCCGGTCAGACATCACATGTTTTCATACTAACCATTACCTATTTATTTACTGTGAATACTGTGATTGTGAATAACTTTGTCTTTAAACACTTTTCTAACATATTATGTACTTTTTTAACATAATTGTATGTTCACAGCGATCACGGAAATGTAGCATTGTTCGCGAAGAAGAGGACGACGAAGAAGGTGCGGTCGCCGGTGGATGCGGTGGACGCGTGGTGGACGCTCGGCGCGGCTCGCGCTCCGAGGGCCGGCTACATCTCGCCGCGCGCGCTGCGCACCCCGCCACGCCCGCACCCTCTGCGCAACGGTCTACTCATCTCGCCGATAACCTCACCAAGGTTAGATTTCTGTCTCAAGTCCCATCTGTTCTTCCGGCTTTGTCGCTCGGCGCCCGCAAGATGCCACCGAACGAATCATACCTTGTCGCAGGTGAACTTGGATGATGAAGGGAGTGCTGAATCAATGGCGCGCGGAGCCCCACCTCCGGCGCCACCACCGGCGCGTCGCCAGCGACTCGAGTGTCGGCGGCGTCGCGCCCGCGCTGGCTCGTGTTCATCTTCGGACCTTTCCGACGACGACTCTGAAAAAAAGAAGCGCGCTGCAGAGCACGCCGACGGACCACCAGAGCGAGCCCGTCGGGACTCGCACGACGATTCCAGTGACAGCCAAGAACGCGGGGGAGGGGCTGGGGCACTAGGCGGGA